TGTATTACAAAAGGTTGTTGAACATGAGAGATGTTATGAATTTTTCCTTGGCCTTCATGACTCGTTTGAGGATGTCAGAGGTCGAATAGTGGGTATAAAACCTCTTCCTTCACTTGATGAAACATTTAATATGATAAAATATGAGGAAAGCCACAAGGCTCTTGTTCAGCTTCCTTTCTCTACTCCTTCTTTACCAACTGTTGAATCCTCGGCTATGGTAACCCGAGGCAATCTAGGAGGAGATTTAAAAGGGAAGAAGTCTCTTCGGTGTGATCATTGCAACAAGAATAGTCACACTCGAGAGACCTGTTGGCAAATACATGGTAGACCCGCCCACTTGAAACAAAAGAATAAAGGTGAGAGCAAAAGTTTTGCAATCAATCAAACTGAAGGAAATTCACTAAATAATGAAGAACTGGTTGTGCTGAAATGACTCCTAGAAAGGTATGCTCAAGAAAAACCAAGTGAGAAACTCTCTCCCTTAGTTACATTGGCGCATGCAGGTACAACTCTACTAACTTTCTTGAGTGCTATTACTGGAAGTAAAAATATTTGGGTTGTGGATTCTGATGCCACAGATCACATTACTGGATTTCGGGAGTTGTTTTTTGAGTTTAGCCCTTATTCAGAGCACACTCATGTACAAGTGGCTAATAATGCTTAACCACAAGTTACGGGATCTGGAATAGTTGTTATTTTAGAGTCTATTATGTTGAAAAATGTGTTATATGTGCCTGATATTCAGTGTAATTTGCTGTCTGTTACGTGCATGACCTGTCATTTAAATTGCCTTGCTATGTTTGACAAATTTCACTGTGTTTTTCAGGAATTAGCCTTGGGGAAGATGATTGGCAATGCTAAGGAACACAATGGACTCTACTACCTTGAAGGAAAACCCAAAGATAAAGACTTCTTGGCTGATTCTAATTCTGTTTCCAAGCCTGTTTTTGCTTCCACTGTTATGTCCCAAGAAAATACTTTATTATGGCATTTTCGATTAGGCCACCCTAGTTTTGATTATATGAAAATCTTATTCCAAATTCCATGAATAAAGTCAATTTTCATTGTGATATTTGTCAATTTGCAAAACAAACTCGCAATCCTTATCCTATCTCTACTTATGCTCCCACTAAAAACTTTCACTCTTGTGCACAGTGATGTGTGGGGTCTCTCAATTGAAACTCCCTCTAAAGCTAAGTGGTTTATTACTTTTATTGATGATCATACTCGTCTTATGTGGCTGTTTTTAATGAAAGACAAGTCTAAAATTGTTACTCTCTTTAAAAATTTCTATAAAATTTCAAACTTCCATTAAAATACTTCGTAGTGACAATGGAACTGAGTATCTAAACACAAATTTTCAAACCTTTCTTACTAAAAAAGGATACACCATCAAACTTCTTGTGTGCATACACCCCAAGAAAATGGAGTGGCTGAGAGGAAAAATAGACATCTCTTAGAGGTGGCTAGATCTCTACTATTAGGTAGCAATGTACCCAATAAGTTTTGGGGAGATGCAGTTCTTACTGCTGCTTATATCATCAATCGTATGCCATCAAAAATTCTCAAGTTCAGAATGCCGCTCCAAAGCTTTTTAGAGTCTTATCCTCACTCACACCTTATTAATTCTCTTCGAAAAAGGGTTTTTGGGTGCACGGCTTTTGTGTTTAATGAAGAGGGTGGGAAACTTGATCCTAGATCCATTAAATGTCTCTTCTTGGGTTTCTCCTTGACAAAAAAGGGGTACAAATGTTACTCTCCTGAAAAACAAAAGTTCTATATCACTATGAATGTTAAATTTGTTGAAACACTACCATTCTATTCCAAATCAACCATTCAGGGGGAGAATGCTAGTGAATGGTTAATTTGTGCCACTATAGAGAATGATCACTTAAGTAATCAATCCACTATCATCACTAATACTGAACAGCCAAATTCTGAACCTTTCTGTGCCAGTCAGCCCAATTCTGATTCTGAACCTGGCTGTGCTGCAGCACCTAATCTTGACCTTACTGCACCTACTTCTGAAGCTGAAACTCCTTTTGATTATCATACCAGTCAAGAACAGCCCTCTACTGACCCTTATGAATCTGTCATTGACCCTATTATGGATGAAACAAGGGAAAATCAGCCTGTGTAGCTCATTCATAGCGAAGGTTCCATTGATGTTCCAAGGCAAAGTCATGATTCACAATCTGAGGTTAATCCTAAAGATCTTCAATGGCCTATTGCTCTCAGTAAAGGCAAGAGAAGTTGCACCTGACACCCCATTGAAAGGTATGTCTCTTATGATAAGCTTAATGCTTAGCTTAAGACATTTTTACTACTCTTGATAGTGAAGAAATACCTAGAACTTTTGAAGAAGCTAAATCTGATCTGAAATGGAAATTGGCCATTGAAGAAGAATTGAGGGCCTTGGACAAAAATCAAACCTGGGAAATTGTTGATATGCCTTGTGGGAAATCAGTTGTAGGCAGTAAATGGGTCTTTACTAAAAAATACAACTCGGATGGGAGTCTAAATAAATATAAAGCACGACTAGTTGCTAAAGGTTTTACCCAAACCTATGGCATCAACTATCAAGAGACATTTGCTCCTGTGGCTAAATTCAATACTATTAATGTTTTGTTATCTCTGGCTGCAAATTTAGATTGTCCACTACATCAACTTGATGTGAAGAATGCCTTCCTAAATGGAGACTTAGAAGAGAAAGTGTGCATGGAGATACCCTTGGTTTTGAGAGGACCCGAGAATGCAAACAAAATCTGCAAGCTCCATAAGTCCCTCTATGGACTAAAACAATCACCTAGAGCTTGGTTTGAAAAATTCACACGTGCTATCAAAGGATTTGGTTATAACCAGTGTCAAGCAGATCACACTTTATTTGTAAAGAGGTCTGATCAAAAGATTGCTGTACTGATTGTTTATGTAGATGATATTGTGCTAACAAGTAATGACACTGAAGAAATTGATAAAATGAAGAAGAAACTTGCTGCCCAATTTGAGATTAAAGATATGGGCTATCTTAAGTATTTTCTTGGGTTGGAGGCAGCTCGATCTTCTTAGGGCATCAATGTCATGCAGAGAAAATACACTCTGGATCTTCTTAAGGAGACTGGTATGATGGGTTCTAGACCTACAAATACTCCAATGGAGCTTAATTGCAACCTGCAAGTAAAACCTGAAGGGAAATCAACTAATAAGGAGAGGTACCAGAAAATGGTAGGAAAGCTAATTTATTTATCTCACACCCGGCCAGATATATCATTTGCTGTTGTGGTTGTAGGTCAGTTTGCTAGTAATCCACAAAAGGAGCATATGGAAGTTGTCTATCGTATTCTCAGATACCTCAAGACAACTCCAGGGAGGGGATTATTGTTTTCTAAAGGAGACAGAAAGATTGTAGAAATCTACACAGATGAAAACAAGAAAATATCTAACACGAAAAGTGAAACAGATGTAGAAGTTTATATTGATGCTGATTGGGCTGGATCCATTCACGATAGGCGCTCTACTACTGGGTATTGCATCTTTGTGTGGGGGAATCTTGTGACTTGGAGAAGTAAGAAACAACCAATCGTGTCTAGAAGCTCAGCGGAATCTGAATATAGGGCCTTAGCCCTTGGAATTTGTGAGGGCATATGGATAGTACAGTTACTCAAAGAGCTAGGCATAGAACAACATACTCCAATTAAAATGTGGTGTGATAGCATGGCTGCCTTGAAGATTGCCAACAATCCAGTTCAACATGATCGTACTAAACAAGTGGAAATTGACAGACATTTCACCAAGGAAAAAATAGAAGCTAAAGTCAACATTCCATCAAGAAAGCAAGTTGCAGATGTGATGACCAAGCCTCTCGTATGGAACAAGTTTGATGAACTAATCGGCAAGCTGGGAATGGTCAACATCTATTCGCCAACTTGAGGGGGAGTGTTGGAAGTGGGCCAACGTAACCTAGGCCCATTACCAAATTTTCCTCAGCCCTAATTAGTTGTTCTGTTAGCATATTCATTTTTTTATTCAAGATATTTTACTGATCTGTAGGGATTTTTAGAATCAGAATATTTGCTATTATCTTTATTAGCCATTAGGGCAGATTTAGTGCGATTCTATCATATCTCCTCTATATATGTACGCTTCAGATTTTCAAATAAAGATAGAAGTTTTTGCACTGCAAATTCACAATTATCTTACAAAAGTTAAAAATATTACACAACTTGATGTCATCACATAACTAGCAAGTTATGTTTTGTCAACCATTCACAAAGGCTACAATAAACTATTCAATTAGAAAAAGGAATCACATAGGTAACAAAATGCACCAAAGAACAAAGTTGGAGAAATTAAGTTTTCTATCAACTGTCACAAAGAGTACTTGAATAACAATGAGTATAGTAGCAGATTGACAACATTCTAACCAAGTATCATGGTAGCCTAATGACTGCTGAGGAGGCACTACTTCTAAAATATCAATCTGCTACCACCCTGAAAAATTCCCTCATCCCAGCTGACATAACCTTTGAGCTCTTGATTATAATGTCATATTTTGATCCTAACAGCATGAGTACACTAGTTCTTTCACTCCACCTTAAGCTAATAGAAGAGCAAGAGTAACCTTTGTCCAAACATGATCTTAGGCATTTGTAGCACATGAAGCATAGGGAACAATTCTTGTGCTAAACCAATAGGGCCATGTCAAGTTAGAGTTTGATATCTAGTTCTTTACAACTAAGCATCCTCTTATTTACAGCCACGACACAATTTTAATGTCATGGAAGTGAATATTTTTTGGCAAATCTTAACATTATGTGTGCCTCAATTAACATTAATCAACATTATATTTCCACTGCAGCAACTATGAAAATTATATATCAAAAGAGTTTAGTGCTCCTCTTCATCAATTCCAGCATCAAACAATAATAGGAAAGATCAAATGGAGAAGCAGCACAAAAAAGGCCCCATACATAAAGGAGTTGAAAACAAACACATTCAATTACTGAAACAGAAAATTCAGGAAGTTTATTTGTATTGTGAAAATATTCAGACAGTTTTTTAATTCACAGAACCATAAAATATATTCTTTTCTTGTAGGTATTAGTGACAAACATAGGTTACACATCCCACGCTGAAGGGAAGTCAGTAAAATATAACACCAATACAACAATATAATCATTTGTCCTGGCTATGAACAATAACTTGATGTCTACAAAGAAATCTATGCTAGAACGTAAGAGGGACAGCTTACTTCAAAGTAAATAAGGCCCGGTTCACATTCCATAACATCTTCTTCCATCACATCACTTCTTTCAAAGTTGAAGGACTCAAATGTAGGCAACACAGTGCTTGTTGCATTGTCAGTGATCTTTTCTTTTATATGTAAAGGGGCACCACCATCTCTGGATCCTTCTTTAGCCATGTCGTTGCCTTCAGTATGCTGCAGTGTTTCACCAAAAGGGTTCAAAGTCACCCAATTAATTTTTCTCTGAATCTGTGATGTCGGTCTACCAGACGGTGATGGCACTGCCTCAACACGGGAAAGGGTGTAGCAGTCATATAGGTTTTCATTTTTGTTACCTATTTCAACTGGCTCCATTTCAGCAGTAAGAGGAGAAAATACTGCACCTACACCCTTCCAAATCCCACTGACACTGCTAGCAAATGTGTTCCAAACTGGTTTTATTACTGGTTCCTGAAAGAGTCATTTTTGTCACCTTCCAATCTGAAATAGAAATACGAAGTACTAATCGTTCTACATATAATACAAACATTGAATAACAAATAAAGTAAAACAATTTTTTTTTCTTTAATAGAGGGTTGGGCCCAAAAGTCCATCTTTGGGAATGCTTTATTTGAATTTTGTCCAGAAATAAAAGAGTTTAAGGTAATTTTGTTATTTTGTCTTTCACTTAACACATTATCAGTCGTCAGCTTTGAATGTCCAAAATATTTGAGATTCAATGCATGTAAATGGCAGGTTTCTTCCTCATTCTTATCCAAGGCATCTTTATTCATAAGGAAACAAATAAAATTCCAAATTTCAGATAGGATTGTCAAGGATACCAAGTATTAATCTCATTGCTATCTTCATAGCTATATTTTTAAAACAATATCTTAGCGTCCAAATCATCACTTGGCCACTCACCAAAATACATTCTCCTTTTCCAAATATTTGCCCAAATTGAACCCACTTTTACATACCTGGGTCTGAAGAACCGTTTCAACCTCCATCAACATAGCCCCAGAGACCAACACTCTACCACCCCTACCTCCCTTCCTCTTCACCATGCTCCTTCCCTTCTGCTTCCTCCGACTGGCCCTCGCCTTCTCTTTCTCGGCCGTGGCATTCGCGAGGTCGTTGTCAACACTCCAGACGTTGTCCTTATTGCCCCTTATTCGCAGCCTCTCTTTGGGACCAGAGTTATGATGGGGTTTCTGGGCCCGAGCGACGAGCTTTCGAGAACAAGGGCTTGGAAAACAACAGGATGAGGAAAAGAGGGAGGAGGAGAACAGGTTGTGAGCTGAGGAGACGGTGCGATTGAATCCTAGAAGGTGGTGGTCACAGTGGCGAGTGGCGAATGCCTTGGTGAGGTGCATGTTCGTGGACTTGGGGACCGAGAACTAGCCGGAATTGTGGTGATTCAGCCAAACAGGTAATTTCTTGTCTCCCGTTTTGTTTTGGTACAACGTTCAAGATTTTAATTATGGGACTTATTACCTCGGTTGGGAGACTCATTTACGATTTAATGATCGAACTGTAATTAAACTGTAATTGAATTAATTATAAATAAATTAATATATTTTAAAATTATTAACTTTTTATCTAAACTTTAGAAAACTAGCTACAGCATTTGAACAATACTTATCCTAGTTCGGTTTCTGCGTAGCGTTCAGACGAGGTGCATTTGCTTCTTCTTCTTTTTTGTCCCTGTCAAGTTCAGTTTGTTGTGGTTGCACGTGATTCAAGGAAAATAGTGCGTTTTTCTCTCCATTTGGTTGTCACTTGTGTTGGTATGTTCGTTGACGTGTGATTTGCTTGGGCATCGAGTCGTTCTTCTTTCTTTGTGGTTGAGACACTGGTTTTTTTATTCCCCACTAGGTTGTTTGAATTCAAATCGGTGTGCATGTTTGGTGAGCCTGGTTGTCTTGTGCGGATCCAATTTTGTTTATGTAATGTCTGTCTGAAGTTACCAAACTGCACCCATTCCCTAACATACAAAGGTAATTACAAGTTCTTAAGCCCTAAGTTACCACAAATTACAAATATTAAATATTAAGAAAATTAATTCTTTATAAATAGTTGGAATTTCAAAAATTTTTGAAAAACAAGTTACAACACTAAAACATATGTATTTATGTACAACGAAAGCGCTTAATAATGCATAAATATCATACGATAAAAAAAACAGGGGCAAAACAATCATGTTTGCCAAAAAGGGATCATATGTTGCAGCTCATATGATAGATTTTGTTATCATGACAGTTCGACTAATACGAACTTTCAACATGCACCATTTTCACATAAGAGCAAGGGAAAGGAAGGAGAAATTGAGTATTGAAAGGAATAGTTTGTAATTCTATAGTCATTCTTATTTATTTTGGGTTTTGTAACGAATTGCATATGCATATGCCAACTTAGAATTCATTATTGTTGTGTAATGCATTTAGATGAACTGTACTGTAAACTGTGGGTATCTCGACCTGAGGTATTGTAATTGTATTATTGTAGTTTGTGAAAGGTTAAAATACTAGTGCAAGTGCTAGTTTTAAGTTGATTTATACGTTGTTTGGTCGTTTGGAAAGATCATTACTTGTTTTACCCCTAGTGGAATTTATATCAAATATGGGGTTTTGGCAGCTAAATCTTGTTTGGGTTATTGTTGTTGTTGGGATTTGAATGTTTATACAGGTTATTTGTGGTCCATTTGAGTTGGTTTGAGTGGTCCCATGGCTATTGGCACTTGGCTTGGGAGTTTGGACACCTTGGTAGTGGTTTTTCAAGGAAAATTAGTCATTTTGGATTTGAGTGTCCAAATCTCATTTAATTTAGTGTTTAGGTGTGTGATCAGTGCAAATAGCTAGATGGCTCTAAGAGTTACGTTTCGACATTGAGTCACTTAAATTGAACGCCGAATGGTGAAATGGCTTGCTCCAGAAGTTGATTCGGAGAGATGCCATGATAGCAATTGCTATCATGATAGGGGACGCATACAACGCACAAAGAGGGAAGTTTCCCTCTGTATAGTCTGCCGCGGCAGATGTCACACTACACCGCAACTTATTGTGCCCTATTGTTGAGAAATTTTTAGTTCTACTCATTATTTATATGTGACAAATTTTCATGCTTTCATTGTCTTGTTTATTTGTTTTAAACGATAGTTTGAGGTCAAACGGTCTATTAAAAAGTGTTTTATAGAATTCCAATTTTTTGAACTTCTTTCTAATCCTTGTGTTATGATGACCATTTTTCTTGAGATTAGACTATTTACAATTATCATAACGATATTCCATGTTTGATGTCCTGTGTGTTTGGTAATGTTAAGGATGACGTCACAAAATGCATCATGTGGGGTTTGTTTATGTTGTGTTTCAATTAAATGTCTTCTTAAATTCATTTATCAGTGCCCTTTATGACATATTTTCTTAATTATTTTCAAGTTTGTAACCAAAGGACATGATAGGGTTAAGACTACATTTTATACTGATTCACATGATCTAACTACTAGGAAATCAATCCATGATGATAAACATATGTCTTGGATTTCCTTAACAATGCATATAATTCTTTATATTTTAAAGATAGGCTATCTTAGCCCTTACGTTGACTGTGGTTGAAGACTTAAATAAGTACATGTTGTCCCTACTCTTTAGAGAAGAAGTTGTATAATTGAATTTCGATAGTGTTATGCTTTATGATGGGGAAATGAATTCACTTAATGACTTGTACTTTACAAATTTCCTAAATTCAATCATATTAACAGGCCTCCCAAATCATGAAATAAGGCTGAAAGTTGGTACCCAATTATTTTAATGCAGAATAGTGATAAGTTTATGAGGTTATATAATGGTACACGTCTTATAGTTATATAAATTGAAAAACATGTTATTGAGGCTTAAGAATGTCTGGGTCAATTGCAAGGACAAAAGTATATATAACATGTATTGGTATTTGTTCATTTGATTCCAGGTTATCATTTACTATGAGGATGCAATTTCCCATTACTTTAGCCTTTCCAATGATCATCAATAAGAGCCAGGGATAGAGCCTTTGCTATGTCAATTTGTATCCACCTTGTCTTGTTTTCATCCACGAACAATTATACATTACTGTTTCTTGTGTTTAAAGTAAGGAGGGTTTAAAAATATTAATTCTTAATGGGTGGTCAATCTATAGATAAAAACTTCTAATGTTGTTTATAGGAAAGTTTTCAATAATTTGATATAATTAATGATGAATTTTCGTTAACCTGCTTCCTATCGTATCCATTTACACTACGCATTTAGTTTTTAGCAACAATTTTTTTAACTCTAATATACATATTTAATATTAAAGACAATAATTACATAACCCTACTATGTATTGGATGACATGGAGAAGGTGTCTGCTACAAGCAATGATTAAAAAACCAAAGCGAACTGGACGGTTGGACTGGTTTGTCTGTCAACAAGTTCGGATTATGGTTCGGTTAGTATGTAAAAACTATTTTAGGGGTTGAGCTGAGTTAGGCCATTTCAGAACAGGAACTAGAATCAAGCTGAAAACTGAATCCAGTTTTCAAGAACCAGATTGTTCAAAAAAATTTATTTTTTTATCAATTTTTTTAAGAAAATGACCAATTTTTTTAATTATTTAATATTATATTGTATCATGTGACTTGTTAAATCATGACAAATTTAAAATATTTAGTTTTATTTTTATGTTATATCATGTGGCTTGTTAAGTCATGATAAATTTAAAATATTTGGTTTTATTTTTAAGTTAAGTAGTAATTTTATATTTATTTCTTATATTTAGATTATTATATACATATATAATTTTTTAATTTAATTATTATATCACCGATTTAACCATTAATCTAACTTGATTGAATCATGCAAACTATAAACCATTGACTTTCCTAGTCTAGTATCCGATTGATTTTGAAAACATTAGCTAAAAGTTATTTTTTGGAAAAAAAAAATTCCTACAAAATTAACATTTATTTATAAAAAAAATGTAGTATAAAATGCACGGTACTTTACTAGTTTTGCATATACGATGGATCAACTAATATATGCTTATTTTATATAATAAACAATTACAATTTTACAGAACATGATTAATTATTAACTAAAAAATTATAAGATGAATTAGGTTGTTATAGAGGGAAAATAGCGAATGTTTTGAATCTGCAAAATTTTTTATTTTGAATCTGTTTTTTTTTTTTTAAGTATAAGTGCTTTCATTTGCTAAGCATGAAATATTATTATTTTTTTGGGTATGGGAAGGAAGTTATATTTTTGAAAACATTAAATTGCCAAATAATATCCATCTTTTTATGTATTTCTATGCTCTTCTAGCATTTCATTAAATAATTACAGTCCAAAGACATTGAATAACTCAATATTTTGCTGACGAAATAAAACATCAACTATTATAAATTTCTTTTGACATATAATTAGTTTGGTCATATATAAATAAATTTGTACAAAAGACTTAAAGATACTGACATAATAAAAGTAATACGACATCTTCAAGAATAATCAATATTGTAGTCAAAGAGCTATTTGAGAATATTAATAATGGATTATAGTTCTTTTCTATGTTATACTTTGAATTGATTATTATTTGCTTAAATTTTTGTAATGATTTGCACTTCTCCATCAAAATTAATTATGATTATGTCATTTACATTTATTATTCGTTCAATTGGTCGCAAATTAATGCAATTCAATTAAAGATTACAACAAAACTCAATAACACATCAGCATGGTTGATTTCAAATACATAATATGTAACAACAATAATATCCTATAATACAGTTTATCCTACAAGAAAGTAACTTTAAAGAAAGCATGTATATTAATCTAATTAGCTGATATATCACCTGTGCATCGAGGTAGGACACTAGTTATATATACATACCTACATATATATATATATATATTACAACTTTATGCCTCCTAATTTTGTGAAAAATAATTTTTATATAAGGATAAATCTAAACAAGTCTGCCTAAATTTATTTTACCTAGACATTGGAACTTTAAAAAATTTCAATTGAAAATATTTTGCAGTGTATCCTAAATTCCTGATAGAGAGCAGCAGCATCTCCTTAGTTATAAAAGGCTTGACATAGAGTTTTAAGCGAGGTCTGCACCTCCAACTCCAGGAACAAGATCAAACAGTTTCTCAACATTGGCAACCAATGGAAATCAGGGAGCTAACAAGTTAACCAAACTTCACATTAGAGCCAGTTGTTACGAATCCTGTGACCTATGCCCTACGGTCTCAAACTTTATCTTCAAAATAACCATTTCTCGGAACCAAACATCACCTCAGGCCTGAAGGGATATCAGTGTTAGATGCATGAGCGAAACCTGTATCTCTGCCCGCATATCTTAGATATCAGATTTATCGCCTTGTAAAAGTAGCTATAGGCACAAAAATAACTGCCAAGGCCGCTCACATCTTCCAAACAGGTGTGCAG